ATTCAGGCTTCACGATGGAAGTACCCAAACTAGAAACTGGACAGCTTTAGCATCAGCAACATAAAGTTTAGATTTAGAGGAACAATAACTTTTGCTAAGTAGTGCCGACCTCATCGCCTTGACAACTGAAGTAATAAAGTACAAAAGTACTTACGGACATTAAAATAAAAAGATCACAAGTGCATAGTAATTGGTTTATTTTCAAAGCTTACAGGAAAAGAATCAACTAGATAGAATAGCATAGTATTTATCAATAAACAGCAGCAGAGGATATTTGCTGTCAATTATCACAGCGTAAATCATAAAATATATCTCCTCTTCACTAGTTCAGAAATGAGAGCATTCAGAAACTTTGCAAATGTCGTAAAGCTGCATCTTGTTAGGCTTCTTTAAGCTGACTAGCCACATGAAGCAACCGGAGACTGCTGGTTCTGACAGGGCACCTGTAGCGAAATCCGAAAACTGAATGACAAATCTGTAAACAATTACAATGGGAAGTTAGGTAATTAGTTCATTAATTATAGAAAAAGGAAGAATGGATTGAGGGTTGAAAAAACTTACCTTGAGGAAACTCGTCAACACAAATCCAACTGAAAGTTTGCATTGAAGATCTCCTTGGTGGTTGACGATATCTTGAAAGCAAAGAAAACAAAGATGAATATCTAAAATCAAACAGCAGTGGAGGTAACGACTGAATAAAATCCTCACCTTGACTGATATGGTCCCATGGAGGCACCTTCCTGGGGATAACAGATTCTAAAGGTGTTCAATTATCAGCAATAGTTGTACATGATTATGAAGATGAAGCCTGAAAATCCCTATTTTAGGCGTTTAGCAAGAAAACATATGCTATCTATGGTGGCAGTAGAATACAAAAATAGGCTTATTTTTGACCTGGAGTGAAAAAGTAATTTAACTGTCAAGGACCAATCAGAAGCATATAATTTCTTCCCGGGTGAGACCACGGGGAGGAGCAATATATTAAAGCCTACATGGCCTGAATATTATGCGTAACGCCAACGACAGAAAACTAAAGCAGCACCAAATCCAATTCAAGAGGTCAGCAAGGAAAATATAAATGACATACTGCAATACGTTGCAGTGGCCAGTGTGGATAAGACTTTAACTTGAGCACTAAATTGATTAAATGTAATTGGTGCTGCTGTAGCTAGAATCCCTCTCAAAGGCAAAGTCTTTCAAGAGTGATTCACATCAAATATGATGTCCTGCCGTCCTCACCCATCTGTAAAGAGAAGTACAAAAAAAAAAAAAGAATACAAAATTAAGACAGGACACAACCCATACCACAACACACGAACCAACATAAACACACAACACATAAACACACAACACATAAACACAAAAACAACCCTACCACAAACCACCCTACAACCACAAACACATACAAGCCAAGCACCACAACCACCCAACAAAATGCAAACAAAGAAACACTATCGCGGGCCGCGACCTGCGTCCTGCGTCCTGCGTCGGCGGGGAAGTCCCATGGAGGTGACCGGGAACAGCGTCTGATGCCTGGCTGGAACAAGAAATATTTTGAGCAACGAGCCAACACAAAGCAAGTAACGTTCAGAGAGAAGGGGGGAGGGGGGGCGGTGGTGACGCCGGTGACGGCCGTTGAGGTGGTAGCGGTGTCCTGGAGCTCCTCCGCTGGTCCTGCAGGAGTGCCCGGGGTGGTCCACCGAGCCCCGCGCCAGCCCCCGGCAAGCGCAGCCTCCGTCCCGCTCTGCCTCTACCGCAGAGGATGGTCGGCAGCCCAACGCTTTCGCCCCGGAGATGGTCAGCGCGGAGGAGCAACCTTCGACAGCAGCCCTCGCTCTGTACGCGACAGGGCCTACCCCGAAGGGTACAGGCGGGCAGTTGTCACAGGGCGCCCCCAAACCCGCGGCAGAGAGCGCGGCGGGGCGGGGCGCGGAGCAGGGGCGGCCGCGAAGGGGCGTGTAGCTCCCCGACGACGCAGTTGTCCTCGGCGCCCGGCGAGTGTCCTGAACGAAGAGTCCTGCGGTGCGGGCAAGTCCCACGGTGGTGGTGACGGGAAGGGCGCAGCGGCGACGGGTCTGAAACAGAACAAAAAGGGC